AATGCAGAAACATTCTGAGTTCATAGACTAGGAGACTCAACAGAATAAAAACATCAATTCTCTCCAAATTCATATATAGATTTAACACAATTCCTATCAAAATCACAGCGAGACTTTGTAGAAATAAAATTTATACAAACAAAGGAACTATTTGAGCTGTTCTAATAGCTCAAGCAACTATGAGAGAGAATAAAGGGGGAGGAATTAGCTTATCCCATTTGAAGAATTATTATATAGCTTTAGTGCTCAAGACCATGAGGTATTATTGGTGGAGGAGTAGGCACACAGAGCAATGGAACAGAGAACCCAGAAAAAGACACAAAGCCATGCCTATTGACATAGGTGCAAAACCAATTCAACAGAGGAAGAATACCTTTGCAACCAATGGTGCTGGAACAACTGGACAGGTGGTAGGGAAGAATAACCTTAACCTAAATCATTTGTTTGTTTGTCATTTGTTTTAAGAGATAAGGTCTTTCTATGTTACCCAGGCTGGACCCAAATTCCTGGGCTTAAGTGACCTTCCTGCCTCAACTTCCCATGTAGCTAGAGCTACAAAATATTTGCTTAAAAAAAAAAAAGAGAAAATCTTGAGGCTCTAAGGCTAGGCAAAGAGTTCTTAGCTTTGACAATGAAAAATGCAATTGATACAAAGAAAAATGGATAAATTGGATTTCGTCAAAATTAAAAATTGTCAGGAGGCTAAGACAAGAGGATGGAGAGTTCAAGGCCAGTGTGGGTTACATAGCAAGATTCTGTCTCAAGGGGAAAAAAAAAAAGTTTTTAACTTGGGCTCTGTGAAAGACTGCTAAGCAAATGAAGAAGAGCTACAAACTGGGCAAAAATATTTGAAAACCATGTGTCTTACTAAAGACTAGCAAATAGAATATATGAAGAATCAAATAAAAAAAAAAGAAAGAAAAGAAACAACCAATGAGAGGATAGCTAAAAGGCATGAAGACATTTCCCAGAAAAAAATGTACAGATGGCAAAAGAAAGCCCAAAAAGATATTCAACACTGCCAGCTATTAGGGGAAAGCACATTAAAGCCACAATCAGCAATATCACTTCAAAACTCTGAGAATGGCTAAAATAGCCTATAACAGCTACTTGGGAGGCTGAGATCCGGAGGATCACAGTTTGAGGCCAGCCTAGGCAAATAGTTTGTTCAAGAGACTCAACACCAGAATAGACCAGAGGCTCAAGTGGTAGAATGCCTGCTTTGCAAGTGTGAAGTTCTGAATTCAAACCCTAGTCCCACCAAAAAGAGAGAGAGAATGGCTAAAATAAAAAATAGATAATGCCAAATGTCTGCAAGGATGAGGAAAAACGATCTGTCATTGCTTGCTGGTGGGAATGTAAAATGGTATAGCTACTTTGGAGAGCATGATAGTCTCTTATAAAAAAAAAACAAATTGAATTACCATATGACCCAGTACTGTACTCGTCATTTATTCCAGAAAAACAAAGACCATTGTTCACACAAAATTCTGTGCATGAGTGGTTAGCAGCAGCTTAATTCAGAGTAGACACAAGGCTGCAATAATCCAGATATCAGCAATAAAAAGGACCAAACTACTGTACCGAACAGCCTAGATGGCTCTAGAGAACTAAGTGAAAAACTAATCCCAAAACCACTGCGTGGTTTCACTCATATTGTACTCTTCAATTAGGGCTGCGGAGGAGGGGTAATGGCTATCACAGGGCAACATGAGGGGTCCTCTATGATGGTAATGTTCTCTTGTCTTATTGAAATTTACCCATGTGCTGAGTACGTTATGCATTATAGATGGTTTTACTGTGTTCACCTCCTATCACTGTAACAAAATACCTCACACAGGGTACTTATGAAGTACAGAGTTTTGTTCTGGCTCTTGGTTCTGGAGATTCAAGTCTAAGAGTGGGCAGCCCCACTGGTTTGTGCCTCTGATAAGAGTGGCACATAATGGCAGGACAGCATGTTGGTCACATCGTGAGCCAAGAAGCAAAGAGACCAGGGTCCCCTTGGGGACACACCCCCAAAAGCCTAAGGACCCCCCACCAGGCCCATCCCTCCTAATACTGCCACTCTGGGGACCAAGCTGTTACACATGGACCTTTGGTAACACTGTCCATATTCAAACTACAGTAATTACCATTCAGATGAACGGGGTTACAGATACAAAGGATCTCTCTACGTGATTTCATATAACTGCATTTGACTCTGTAGATAAATAACAGCATCTCAAAGTAAAGGTGGGTTTTTATTTAATGGCATTGTCCTCTCAAGGAATTATCAGTCAAAACATCTGCTACCAGATTTCAATATTTCTAATTCTCTTGTTGCCAAGCGATCAAAGAGCTCACTAAGAAAACTCATCTTATGACCCAAGCCTTGTATGCACATATGAATAATAAAATAAAAAAAAAAAAGAAAACTCATCTTGCGGAGCGCTGGCGGCTCACTGCTATAATCCTAGCTACTCAGAAGGCAGAGATCAGGAGGATCAGGGTTCGAAACCATCCCCAGCAAGTAAGTGTATGAGGCTGTGTCTCTATAAAAACCATCACAAGGGCTGCAGAGAGGCTCAATTAGTAGATCACCTGCCTAGCAAGCGTGAGGCACTGAATTCAAACCCCACTGCTGCCAAAAAAAACTGATCTACAACAGTTTTAGTTGGGAAGCACTTACTGACCTGTCATGTGCAACTAGGAGCTAGGGGCACAAGCAAAGATGCTGAGGACAATTAGACTTCAAAGAGAGTGCGTGCTTCTAATGACACCAAGCAAGAACTGCAGCATTGACCTGTGGACTTTTCATGTGATGCCCAATCAAAAATATTTATATTTGTATGGGGGATTATTTTTTGTTTTTAGCAGTACTTGGGATCAAATCTATGCTAGGAAGAAGCACTTGGCCACTGAACTACAAACCCAGCTCCAATCCTTAGTATTCCTGAGCGGGGACGGGGAGGAGATAAAGGAGAATGATGGGGTAGGTGAATTTGACTAAGATAAATTGTAAGCACTTTTGTAGATGTCACAGTGTACCCCCAGTACAACAGTAATATGATAATAAAATTTTTTTTAAATTGTTTTTAATAGGAAAAATAAAAAATAAGTATTTCTAAACAGAATACAGTTGACCAGTAGATGGCCAACCTGTAGATAAACGATTCTAAAGTCTTCTCTTCCTTATTCTGTCAATTTAGGACATTTCCATGTGTCATCTCAGCACTTCCACCCTCCTCAAGCTACCTGGGTAGAAACAGGAAGGGAGAAAATGATAACCAGCGGCATCTCTCTCTCTCTCTCTCTCTCTCTCTCTCTCTCTCTCTCTCTCTCACACACACACACACACACACACACACACACACACACTTCTCTTGCACCTGCCTTGCTACAATTTCTCTAAACATGAACATCCTGAGGAAAAACAGAGTAAGAACAGCAAAGGAGGATTCCTAAGACCTCCAGCCACCCCTCCTCTTCCCATGCTGCCATCCTATCCTACCACACTCAACCTTCACAAGACCCACATCTCCATTCAAATCTTCCCACTCCTATCCCAGAAGAATTTCCCAAATGCCTCCTTCCCTTTAAAACACACATCTCCTCCCAGCTTTGCTGGAGCTCTGCCAAGGGAGTCACATTCCAAGAAAATGGAACACACGTATGGAATGAACGAAATTCATCATTTTCTTCCAGTAAAGCTCTCTTGCAACTATAGTTCATTTTTTTAACAATTAGGTTACTTTTAGAAATGAGAGGTTTCATTTATACCAAGAAACCTGATATCAAACACTATTCACACCCACTGGGCAAGAACAGCTTTCACCTGCTAATGTATCTTGCCTATCTGGCTTAAGCTAAGAGACAGCAAGTGAGCCCCTGGGCAGTCAAAATGGTATCCCATGGACAAGGGGACAAGTGCAACCATGACAATGGTTCTATTGACTGGCTGGATCAGCATGGCTGGCAAGCTGGCCAGGGATGGAATCCAGGGTCTCTCACATGTTAGGCAAGTGCTCTACCACTGAGCTCTATGACCAGCCCTGCTGGCCGACCTTTGTAAACACCTACAGCTACAGATGGTGGCAGTAAGGTAGAAAAGATGCGATCTGCCATCCAGTCCTCAGCACAAATTAGGAGTTGCTAAGAAATGACTTATTTTTTAATGATCTCCATAGAATTTTCCATAACTTCTTTTTTCACTGACTCCCCCTAACCACTTCCAGAAAAATCTTCCTTTAGCCTCATGTAAACATCAACCCTCAGGCTTTTTCATCCCTCTGTGCTGCTTCCCACTCCCATGGAGATGGCCTATGTAACAACCTTACAGACACCCCCTCCATCATCACCATCATCTCTACACAAAAACTTCTGTAATCAGAATGAAAGTCTAAGTCCCTAGAATGGCCAACTTCTGCATCAGCTAGCCATCCCGCCACCTCTTCAACTCTCCAGCCTCATCCCTTTCTTCTCTCACCCTCAATCCCTGCTCGCACCTTGTTTACACTTGTTCACTCTTCTCCTCTTTCTTATGGACTTGCTCAAATGTCACCTTCCCTCAACAGCCCCCCCTACAAACACTTAAATTTCCCAGTCTCCGTGCCCCTAAAAAACTCCCTATTTAATTTAATATTTTAACTATTATCCCACAGTAAGTTCCATGATTGCAGGGATTCAGTTGTTTTGTCCACTGTTATATACCCCAAGGTCTAGAACAGTGTGTTAGTGTTTATTCTCAATAAACTGTCATTCACCTAGAGGTCTGTGTGCACCTCTTCCCGTCCAAGTTTGTTAGGTCAAGAAAAGTCACTGTCTCTGCCTTCAACGCTCAGATAGAGCACTGCACCACGTGTTCAGGGCTGAAAACTGCGGGTACAGGAACAGATCTAACAATGCCAAAAGTTCAGAGGAAAGGGCCTGGGTTTTGCCTTTCTGGGGACCAGTTCAGCTTGCTACCATCAGGCAGTTACTAAAGAGGGTCCCCCTAGTTTCCAACGGGTTCCACTCACCATCCCCGGACCTGAGAAGTTACTAGTGCGGCCTCTTCACGTCCGGCAGGAGATTTAAGGGAAACACACAAGAAGGCCTATGCCCTCAGGTTTCAGCCGTACACACCCCCACTTTCGCCCCCATCCCCATCCCGAGAGTGAACCCAGATGCTGACCTACAGCCCTTCCCACCACGCCTCCCCTTCCCCCCCCAGTACCCCACCTGCTCCCAGCGTGCCCCGCTGCTCCTTCCCGCGCGTGCGCAATCAGGTCCGCCCGGTTTGGGGCGGAGTTAGCACTGCCGCCAGGCTGGCCACGCCCCGAACATAGAGTCGTGTTCTGATTGGCTGCTGACGCTCGCCCGAGCCGGGTGGAAACGCAGAGGCTGGGCATTTAAAGGTGCTTGCCAGTTCGCTCTTCTACGCTAACGCGTGCAGCTCCCTGGTTTCCTGGCCGGCTCTCTGGGATCCTCGTGACCGCGCCAGCATGTCTCAGGTAGTGCGCGTGCCCAGCCAGGCTGCGAAAGTGGAGCTGGGCGGGAGGCGGGTGGAGGGAACCTTCGGCAGACAGAACTCCGCGGGGTCTTTCCGTTGAATGCGTCGCGGTTGCCCTTGGACCCCTGCCCAAGTCCTCATTCTTTGCACAGAACCTTGGGAGTAGAACTTTTTGTTTGAGGATTTCTAAAATTGCTACCCACGCCGCAACTGCTGGAAAGTTGCCCATGGGGTGGACATCGCGGTGTTGCTGCCACAAGAATGGGAGGCAGGGTCCTGGATAGAAATATGGGGCGATTGGGGGATGGAGACTTACGTGAATTGAAGAAGAGAGGAGGCTGAGCCCCACACCCGGAAGGACAGGGGGGGCGGGAGGAAGGGGAGGAAGCATGGAGGCTGTAGATGGGAGCTTGGAAGTCAGGGGAAGTTGATGCCGAGTGCCCTGCGTGCCCCCAAGAGGAGAGTCCCGACCCGGGGAGAAGTCACCCAAAGGCCTTTCCCTTCCCTCTACTGTAGACCCTTGACTAGGTCCCCCGACTGTGGAGCGACCTCTGGCTCCTCCCACCTGCCTCTCCCCAATCTGGGCACTCGGACAGAGGTCACCGCTGACCGCCCTGACCCAGCGGGAAGGAGCCATTGAGCTCCAGCGATGCCCCCCTCCTTATCAGCTCTTTTGAGAACTCCGTGTGTCCCCCATCCATAGGTTAGGGCTTCACTGAGACCCACCATTCCCGGGCCTGGTTGGATGATGGCCAGGCAGTTGGCCACGCTGTTTTAACGTGTTTTAACCGTAGGCCAAGTCTTGGCTTGATGTCTGCTGTAGGGAGAGTAGCAGATAGTTGAGAGTTGAATGAGTAACAGATGCTCTTCCCCTTCCTGTTTTGCAACTCTTCCTAGCTGTCCCGTTGGGAAGAGAGGAGTTCCACTGAAGCAGGGCTGCTTTTCCTGACCTGCTGAGGGCAGGACTGCTGTCCTTCCCACTCAAGGCAGTCTTCATTCCTCTTCCCTCCCTCCCACTCAGGCTGAGTTTGACAAAGCTGCTGAGGAAGTTAAGCGCCTCAAGACACAGCCATCAGACGCTGAGATGCTGTTCATCTACAGCCACTTCAAACAAGCCACCGTGGGCGACATAAATACAGGTGTGCCGCACTGCTAATCAAATCAGGCTCTTGGCAGAGCTGGAAGTCTGTGGGAACTTGAAACCACCCAAGGCCTTCCCTTCTGGAGGGGGCAGGATCACAGTTCACTGGGTTCCTGGGGTTTCACCTGGGAGAATTTCCCCCAAAAAACCATCTTCCTAGATTCTCAGTGATTTGGATGGCAGAATTCCAAACCTGACTTTAGAAAGGCTCTGCCAGTTATCATCAGCAACTCCCATCTACTACGCAGGAAGCAAGGCCCCAGCAGAAGAAGCTTGCTGTAAGCTTTCCACTCTAGTGGCTTTTTTGATCTACTGCTTTTGTTGCCAGATGGACAGGGTCAAAGTCAGAGTACCTGGCAACCTGCCAAGCCTGCTGGAGTTTTTGGGACACCTGGTAGCCTGGGGCAAATCAGAAGTGTTTTTGCTGGCCACAGTCTGTACCTTCCTGATAACTATTCTCTATCCAAAAGTTTTGGTACAGATTTGAAACTATGCTTCGAACTACCGTAATAGTCTATAATATTGTCTTTCCTGCCTTGGGCAGTGTTCATCCTGTCCCTAAGTCCCTGAAATGTGGCTATGTATTGAGGCAACAGCACAGTGTGTTCCATGAAAGGACTCAAAAGTTGGTGGTGATGGCAGCATAGAAGAAGGTACTTCCCCTCCCCTGTTCAGGAGGAAAATGAGCATGGCTCCTGATTCCACTGGAACTAGGGTGGCTGGTGGAGCAGGTAGGCTGGCTGCTAGCCTGCTGCAGCAGGAGATGGTACCCAGAACAAAGGATCAGAGGCACTGCCAAGTCAAACACTGTAGTTCACAGCAAGGGCTTAGTGAAGGAAGGTCTTGTGTCAAAGATGAGTTTTACAGTGGAGCTTATAAGCTCTTCTCCCCAGGAGGAGAAAGGGAGGGGAAGTTAGGATGGCCAAAGGGACTGAGATGCTTTTCCCAGAGCCTGGCCTCAGTTTATGCTAGAGGTACTAGATCTAATATGAGTGTAAGTAGACTGAGATTGGTGGAGTGGCTCCAGTGGTAGAGCACCTGCCTAGCAATCATGTAAGCCCTGAGTTCAAAAAAAAAAAGTCTTAAGATGAGTGTAAGTAGACCGTTTTGTAATATGTCACCACCTGATCAGGGAAGTATTGACCTTCTAGGTCTATACTGTTCAATTCAGTAGCCACTCATACATTTTAGCTAAAAATAGTTAAAATTAAATGAGGTTACGTCACTACTGAGGAAGCAGAAATCAGAAGGATGGCAGATCGCTAGGCACATAGTTCGAGAGACCCTATCTGGGTTTTATTTTCTTTTCTGCGGTACCAGGGCTTGAACTCAGGGCCTACACCTTGAGCCACTCCACCAGCCCTTTTTGTGTTAGGTATTTTCCAAATAGGGTTTTGTGAACTATTTGCTGGGGCTGGCTTCAAACTAAAGTCCTCCTGATTTCTACCTTCTGAGTAGCTAGGATTACATGAGTGAGCCAGCAGCACCCGACAAAACAGGGCTGGCGGAGTGGCTTAAGTGGTAGAGCATCTGCCTAGCAAACATGAGACTCTGAGTTCAAACCCCAGTACCACCAAAAAAAAGAGAGAGAAAGAAAAAAAATTAGGTCACAAGCCAGTCTCTAGCCACATATTTCAGTTTCAGGGACTTGGTAGCCACCTGTGCAAGTGTCCTGAGTTGGATGTTGCAAACATCTGTTTCCATGTGGCAGAAGGGCTGACGGGAAGGAAGTGCAGCTCTAGGAGTCTGAAAATGCTTGGGACACTCGATGTTTCTCACACAGAGTACACCAGGTTGTGGACACTGCAGTTGCTCTACTTAACAGTGAAATAGGCCCTAGGGAGGAAGGGTTTCTGAGCATCAGATAATTGCAGGTCTGAAAGCATAAAATCATGGCATAACTTAAAGAAACCCTGCCCTCAGTAAAAACTCCCAGCAAGCAACATGAATAGACTTAACAGGAGGTAGAAAACTGGGACCAGGTTATAAACAGACAGTTGACAGATAAGGACACCCAGAAGATTGATAACTAATGCAGCAGGGAGAGAGGTTGAATAGTGGGGAGCAGAGGTAGGAGGGAAGCTTGAAATTTCTCTTTGTAGTTTTGAAATTCTGAGCCATGTGAATAGATACTTTAAAAATATTTTATTGACAAATTTTAAAAGGAAAAAGTTTGGAGTTTAAATAGTTAACTTGCACTTAAAAACTTTTTAAAATGTGAACAGCTTTCCTAATTTCTCAATTTTAAGTTTGGATTTCTGTATTTCTGTATATTTAATGGGGCTAGAAATTGGCTCAAGTGGTAGAGTGCCTACTCTGCAAGCACAAAGCTCTGAGTTCAAACCCCAGTCCCACAAAAAAAAAGAGGTATCTGGGTTTCATAAGGCAGAACCCACCATGCAAGACCCATGGAGAATTGATATAATAAAAGATGACTTTATAGGAAGAGTTCTCCCTTAGAACTTGAAGCAGACTTAAAATACTGTCTGTCCTTCCCTTGATTCAGAGCGGCCAGGGATGTTGGACCTCAAAGGCAAGGCCAAGTGGGATGCCTGGAACCAGCTGAAAGGTAATTGTTCTGAGCATTTTCCCTCCTTGTGAAGCCCAGTAATGAAAGGCTCTTCATTATGGAGTATAAGGGGGAGGGGAAGAAACAGTACAGAAGGCACATGCTGGAAACCAGCCTAACCTGTGCCAGATTGGGGCAGAGAGGGTAACTGGGCCACCTACTTTCTCCCCTAATACTACTCAGGCCTTTTCTAAAAGGACTATCTCTGGGCAAGGGTATCAATCTGGAGAGGAGGAGCTAGAGAAACTGCCCACTGAGAAACAGGCTAAAAGGTCATGTTGGTGTGGGCACTGGATAGGGGTAGTTTCCTGTCCACACCTCCCTCTCTGAGCAGTGACCCCTTATCCAAGTGGCTATCCCCTGTTCCTTTCCAGCCAGAAGGGCACATGAAGAAGAGAGTGAGGTAATGCCTGGCCAGCCGCTGCTAGGCTCAGTGAATGGAGCTATTATTTGCTTGAGCACCAACAGCCAAGAAGTGTCCAGGCTCCCCCTGCATCACGTGCTCTATGTGCATCAAAGCCCAAAATCTGGCACCAAAGATCCTAGCAGCTTTTCTGCCCTCACTAGCTGGTTGCTGAATAAGCCCTCTGTATTCCTGCAGATGAGAAACCCATGAATTCAGAAAGACCACAATACAGAAAATGCACTTGCAGGATTTAGAAGTCAGGTTGTCTGTCTGGCTGTCCATCTTCATCAGACACTTCCACCCCATTCTCCAGCCCCAAGCCCTCTCCAGTGCCTTACAACAAGCTCCCAGTCCCAGAGGGCCTCTCCCTTCGTGGAAATCCAGGAGACTGGATGTGACTGTCTCTGTGAATATGTATTCAGTGTACTCTGTGCTGCAGCAAGGAGACAAAAATTTGTCTCATTCTCCTCTAAGAGCCAGTTGCTTTTGCTCAGTCTCAGACCTCTTCTCATTGCTTCTCTCTGGGGAGAAGAGGGTGGCTGCCTTTGCTTTTGCATGGCCAGTGTAGAAGCTCTGGGAGATAAAAACCCAACATAAAGATACTTGGTAAACCAAAGCCACCCATGAGATCTGCAGAACCAATGAAGTCACTGCAGTGACCGTTGCCTACCTGTCTGGAAAGCCAGGATTGCTCCCCCACTGTCATGAGGTCACCTCGGACCAGCCCTACCATGCATGAACTCAATGCATTATGGAGCAGAACTCTGGACCATGCTCCTTGGGTGCTTTTGTCAGTGGGTCGCTGAGACGGGTAAGCCCCACTTCCTATTCAGGCGATTTACCACTTGACCACTCCACCAGTTGTAAGCCCCACTTGACAGGTGAAAAACAGCTAGGGCCCTGAAGCCTGCTTTCTCCTCTACCTTGCTACCTTCGTGACATATAATCTTGTTGATTTCTTACAGGGACATCCAAGGAAAATGCCATGAAAGCTTACATCGACAAAGTAGAAGAGCTAAAGGGGAAATATGGAATCTAAGAGACTGGATTTGGTTGTCAGCCACACACTTAATCTAAAATAATGCATAATGCCTTGTTTTTTTCTAATACTGTGGATGATGTGGCTCTTAACAGATTAAGGACAGAATTAGTTACTGGCTCTCCCTTAGTAGTTTTTATCTGAAATCAATTAAAAGTACATTTGTTACTTTAAGTCTTTAGTGGGATGGATTTTTGAAATAATTTTTTCCAAAATTCTGTTCTGATTATTCCTGCTTCTTTTAAAGATGTCCTTCTTGCCACCTTCCTCTGTACCCTGCTGGTGTGAGTCAGGTGGTCCCACCTGTTCCCAGCCTCCAATGTGCTCAGCTTTGTGGGGGTAACAGGGTTATAGAAGTAGCCTTTCCCCCCCTTCTTCCTCCCAGTTCCAGCCACTCCAAGAGAGATCAGGTGCACTTGCTGGAACTTCATCCTGCAGGAACTTCCAGGCATCTGTCGGGGACGTGGCTGGCTTCAGGCTTCAAGGAAGGCAAGTTGACAAGTGTTTGAAGTTTGTCTGAGGTCCAAGCAGCCCATGGATCAAGAGTAGGAGCCCCCATCCAGAACAGAGTGTGCACCGGGCCCAAGGTGTTTTCTTCCTTTGAAAGCTGGGTTATAGAAGGGACGGAGAGGTGGGGAGCCAAAGAGCCAATGGAAAGAAGTGGGGAGCAGGGCCTGGGAGGCTGCAGAGAAGAAAAGCAGGAGTTTCATGGAGAACCCTGGTTGTTGAAAAGGAAGAAAGGAAAACAGAGCAGATAAGACTGTCCTTGCCAGATGGGTCCCTTCTGCACTCCACGTGAGGGGTCTGGTAGTGGCTTTCCCTTTTGCAGGTGAGGATGCTGAGGCCAAAAGGAATTCAGGAGAAGCTCTGAGGCCAGGCAGTTCTTAATCTTCTTCCCTCCAGTGTCCATACCCTGACCTTAAACATAGTTCACCCTCGCCTCAGAGGCATGAGAATAACTTGCCAAAAGTCTCTGCTGGTAAATAGACTGTGAACCAGCTTTCTAAGCAAATCTGGTCCTGAAACCTGAGCGCCCAGAGAAATGGAAATATAAGGGCAGCTGCCTGGTGGGGTGGAACTAAGGTGGACCCTCTAAAGACAGGACTGGAGAGTGGAGACTCTTGAGAGTATGGAATTATGGGAGTGGCATGGATGTGGTAGAAGGCCATCTGAGTAAATTGACAGATGTCAAGAAAGTGATGGCTCCAGATCTGGCTCAGGAGTAGATGGGGAGGTTGCTCTATCATAGCACAGGGCCAAGGTCCCAAAGTCCCCCTCGTGTCCCAGGGCCTCAGTGTCTGAGTGGCAGTGTCACAGTGGAGTTAGTTTTTTGGGGTGCTGATGTAACTGACCAGAGAGCCCACAGTCCTGCTCTGGCCCCACTTGTTTCTACTCACCAAGACTGTCCAGACCACCAAACTCACAAGCTCCTCCTTCAGACCCAAGGAAAGTAGCAACCCCTCGCCTGCCCCCATATCTGGATCAGTTCCTTTGCTCAGCTTTTATGGCTTCAAGAGTAAGCCAAAAGAGCCAGGCACTATGGCACCCCACCTGTAATCCCAGCTACTCAGGAGGCTAAGGAAGGCAGATCATGAGTCCAGGAGTTCAGAGGGAGAGAGAATCAAAGGAAAACAGCCTTAAATGAGGTCCAACATGCTCCTGTCCAGCCAGACCTGGCTCAGGACTCCATGGAGCACACCTGCCTGGAGGGTGACGGTGAGATTGCATGAGAAGTTGACACGGAGTGGATGTCAGCACCTGCCACTTTATCAGAAATCTTTTTCCCCACCAGCTTTCAAACCATCTCTTACCCCTGGCAACCCCTCCTGTCATAGCCGTATGTGTCTAGGACTTAGTCCATGAGCAAAGTATCATTGGAGCAAGTGGATAAGGCCCTATCCAGGCTTCCAGCCCATTTCTGACTTGAGAGAGGCAGATGGGCCGGCAGACTGGAACCCAGGCACCATGTCTCCACCTTACCATGGGCCAGAACCAGAAAATGGGCCTCTGCATAAGGAAGCCCTCACATAGTGGGCAGTCTGGAACTCAGCAGTTAGGTTGTGCTAAGATGTATTTTGATGTCGCCTCTGTCTTGGGATAAGAACCATTATTTGAGAATGGAAAGGCATGTATCAGAGGTCCATCACAGCCACTGCTGCTGTGGTCTCTGATTAGTGACCATTGTTTACTGGGGATCTGTTAGGGCCAGGCTCCAACTAAGATTCTTTACTTCAGTGCTTGCATTTCATCGCACAGTCCTCCAGTGTGGAGCATACACCTCATTACAGTGAGATGTCTCATTACAGTGGTCGGGGAGTACCTTCCAAGACACTGCACAGATGCCTGAGACCATGATAGACCCACCCCCTACAAATGTACTGCTTTTCCTTTATACAAATATCTATGATATAGCTTCATCTCTAAATTATACACAGCAAGAGATTAACAACTACATTGATCAAATCAAACAGTTACAAATTCTATAATAAAAGTTACTTAAAACGTAGGAATTGTTCATTTCTGAAATTTTTCATTGGGTATTTTTAGACCATTGTTTATCACAGATAATGAGACCACAGAGAGCAAAAGACAGAAGGGGCCGTAGAGATTCCTGTTGCCATTATCCAGATGAGGAAATGACGTTCAGGTGATGGAAAGGGATTCTGAGGCAGCACTCTGCATGGGGAGACCCTGCTTGTCACTTTCTGTCATGTTTCCTGTTGTGACCACGCAGCTCTGTCAGATGACAAGAGTGACATCTCAGGCTAGCCTGAACTGCTGATGTGAAATTCCACATTCAGTGTGTATCCTGTTCCCGAGGACCCGGCTTACGCAAGCAGGTCCCATCTCTAAGCTGGGGGCAGGGCCCGGGGAGTGGGGATGACAGGTATCTGCTTTCTCAGCACCTTGGGTGATTCTAGGGCTTAGCTGGGTCTGCGAGGTACCCTCTCCCAGGCTCTAGAGAGCCAAAGTACCAGCTTCTCAGAAAGTAACTGGCAGGTGTTCTGAGAGCGAGGCAGAAGAGGCCTTTGGCTGTTTTCCTGTGTACAACCCAAAGGGGTTTCACAGGATGTTACCAGGAACAAATGGCATTGTAGTGGGGGTCACCCATCTCCCTTCTCTGTGAGAAGCCTCAACCCCTCTATGGCATGTCTTACCTCCAATGTGGCTTTTTGTGAATCTGCCTCACTCTCAGGAGCTGGGTGACTTACCCTGTGGGCGTGAGCTCAGTCCCTTCATCTTGTAAATAAGGAGAATCTGTCCCTTGCAGGACTGACAAAATGTCAAGTGCTTTCACAAGGCCTTCCTAACAGCAACTTGCCAGCCACTTGGAGGTCTTCCCAGCATGCATGCTCATAACTGTCCTCCCTGCTATCTGTACAAATCCTGGTCTGACAGCACTCCAGTAATTTGGGGGGTCAACCATGCAAGCAAATGAGAGTTGTCTAAGACTGTCCTCCCCACACAAAGATGCCCCACGATCCAGAAGTCTGAGGACCTGACTTCTCAAAGGAACAGGGAAGAGCCACTGGATTGCCAGTCAGGGGCCTTTGGCTCTGTTGCTGTCACAAGTTATGTCATTTCTGCAAGCTTCAGTCACTTCAGCCATAAAATGGGGCTGAGCAGAAGGTTGGTGTCCTGTGAAAGCCAGAGAAAGGGAAGAGAAGGCCACTATAGGTGAGTGGCTTGGGAAGCCAGGCTGAGAGCCAAGCTGGGAAGTTGTGAGGGGGTGGTATAAGCAGCAAGGTGATTAAAGGTGCTTCAATGGAATTATAGGTATTTGGAGCTGAGGATGAGCCAAGAGAAGTCACCAACAAGGCGGACTTTCAGCAGTTGTACTTTTGGGTTGGGCTATACGGTCCCATGCTCTTGGCAGTGCTATGGTAGAGAAGGTCAGGACACTTCTTCTCTTGTTTGTTCATCTGTGACAGGGCTCCTCCTCTCCTCTAAAAGGATGAGGGGTAGCTGTGAGGAAATGGAATGAAGGAGCCCCGAGCAGGACCCCAGGGTGTGAAGATAATTAAGACTCACTCTTGACCTGAAAGCCACAAACAGAACACCCCTGCTGGCAACACCCTGCCTGGGCTACAACTTGACCCTTGGAAGACCAGGAGTCAGTCTACAGCTTTTCCTCATGTTTTATGGGTTTTGTTTTGTTTTGTTTTTCAGTAAGTACTTTTGCTAAGCAAAGAATGAGCATAAGTAGACTGTAAATATTTGGGTTTTTATGATAGTCTCATAAAGTCTTTCCAGAAAAATGAGTGCATGTCAAACATAGCACAGGGCTCTGCACTAAGGATGGGTAACCTTGAGGTTTTTGCCCTCCTCCAAATATGTACAAGTTCATACCCCTATGTTTATAAATGTGACCTCATCTGGAAATGCAGTAGTCCCCTGTGAACCATGGCAGATGTATTCCAACACCCCTAAGGGGATGCCTAAAACCAGGGATAATACTAAATGCTATAAATGCCGTATTTTCCCCCATACATACATACATACATATGATAAACTTTAATTTATAAATTAAGCACAGGAAAAGATTGCAGTAACTAATTATAAAACAGGATAGTTATAACAATGTATATGATAAAAGTTATATGAATGTTAGCTCTCTCTCAAATACCTTTTTTTTCAGTACTGTTTTTTGAACTTGGCTTTGCACTTACGAGGCCCTACAATTTGAGCCACACCCCCAAGCCCTTTTTGCTGTACGTATTTTTTTCTAATGGGTCTTGCATTTATGCCTGGACCATGATCCTCCTATTAAAGTTCCTAGTTGGCTGGGATGATAGGCACATGCCACCGTACTCAGCTTTTATTGGTTGAGATGGGTCTCTGGAACCTTTTGCCTGGGCTGGACTTGAGCTATGATCTTCCCAATCTTCACTTCCTGAGTAGCTAGGATTACAGGTATGAGCTACAGAACCTGGCTTCTAAACACTTTTAAAGGAAGCACTGTATATTTTCTCTTTGACTAATCCGAATTGCCACCATCACTATTCTCACACTTTGGGGCCAGTGTTAGCGAAATAAAGCTTAGTTGGACACAAGCCCTGTGATACCAAGACATTTGATCTAGTAACCAAGATCATTACTAAGTGACTAGCAGACCTGTTAGTCTGTGCTAGATAGACGCTGTGCTAGATAAAGAGATGAGTCACATCCTAG